CATTCCTGCACTTTCGTTGGATAATGACACTCTGGAAGTAGTCGAAAGCTAGATTAGCGTTTGCTAATCTGCGGCATCTCTGGCGCCGGTGCGATATATCCCTTTCATTGAAAGGGCGTGTGTATTGCGCAACGGTACGCACAGTCTTGTTCTATGGCTGCCAGACCTGGCCTCCGAGCAGATCGCATCCAGCAGCTATCAGTCTTCGACAACCGTTGTGTGCGCAACATACCCGCGTATGGTGGGAGCATCACGTGAATAATGATGATGTCAGACAACGGGTGCTAGGACCAGATAGTTTTCCTTTGGGCAAAATAATTTCACAGCATCGTCTTGGGCGACTAGGGCACGTCCTACGAATGCCTGAGCACCGTCTGCCACACCATGCACTACTCGCAGGCATCGGTCCAGGCTGGAAGAAACAACGAGGTGGGCAGGCTATGACGTAGCGCAGAGGATTAAAGAGATTGTGCTCGGATCTGGCTTCCGTTGGGGTTTCTCGGCCCCCCGTCTGGGGCCCCAAAGATTCAGATCGTCCTTGGCTGGAGACACTGCGGGATTTGGCATCGAACCGTGGTCAGTGGCGCCAATGCATCACCTCTTGTCTACAATCCAAAAAATAAATAAACGAAAATAACTCAAAATGGCGTGCAGTTAACAAAAAAGTGTATTGTTACTCGTCGAAATTGGCTGTTTTATTTTCCCCGTTTTTGTACCTATATTCTTTCGTTCACCCATGGTTATCTTTGGCGCCGTATCTGTAAAGATCAGTGTAAATAATAACAATAATAGTAATATTGTAGTAAAGAAGCTCAACAATCATTTGAGGCCGTCAAAACCATCGTATGTGAGCTTCCCACAACCTCTTCAAGTAAACTGTTCCAATATGGTACTATGGGACTTGTACAGAACTTGGCATGTATATCTAGCCTTACAATACTACGCTACAGCTTCTAACTGCCCTGGTGTCACTTGGAGCGATGGGATTTTTTATGACACATTTGTGTAGTGAACAGCAGACGGGGCGAACCCCATAGTCACGAATACCTGCTGCTCCGTCATGGAAACCGGTAACCTTATCCCTGGGACTTGGAGCGGCGAACCACATAAGGCCTCACTAGATTAGCGTGGTATTGACGTGGACGACAGCAAAGCTGTATACCACCAAAGTTGGTTAGCGGGGGCTCGAACCTCGGACCATAGAGTCCAAAACACTCCAGTGATAGCGACTAAACCACCATACTTAATCCTGAAGTGATTGTTTATTTTCATGAAAACTTCAATGAAGTCTCCTTTCCTGGTTGTGCTCATTTTCAGTAATAACAGATTAGGGTCCTTGAGCTTCTTTTCGTAACTTGCTTCTCTGTCCCACCGTTATCCGTGTAATCAGACGTTGTACTCTTTCTAGGCATTCAATATCTTTCCGAAAATAGGGTGCTCATGCCTGAACATAATATTCCTGGGTTGACCCTGCTGTAACCTTATATAGAGTGCTGAGAAATTCGGGTCTCCTACATGTAAGTAGAGCATAGCCGAAATAGTTCCATGCAAATTCCATACTACCTTCTGACATTGCTACAACCGCTTGAACTAATACGACACAATGACTCCTAGGTCCTTCATCATCTTTGAAAACTTAGTCCATTTTAATTCTCTGTTATCTTTGGCTCTGCTTGCAACATTCAATTTTTCCCTGTGTTCTTTTATTCAAATGAGGAACCAGAAGACAACCAAAACTGGCACATGAAAGTGCATGGTTACTGGTTGTAGAAACTGAAACAGGTCCTTCACTTCACTTTCTCTCCTGATATCGATTTCATTTTTATTGCCAATTTCAACTTCTGCGGTGAGAAGCTCGCATTGGTATAGTTTCAAAAGAAGATACCACTTTTTGACCACATTTTGACAGCTTGCACATCCTGGTAAATATTCGTTCGCGTCTCCTTGATGGCGTCCGCAAACATGAGGCACGGGTTGTTAATTTTCCCTGGTAAGTCATTTACGAACAGTAGGAATAGTAGTAAGCATAACCCTGATCCCTGAAGCACGCCGCTTGTCATGTATTCCGTCGTTTATAATTGCGTTTCTACCTTGAACTGAAGTGTGGCTTACGAGGAAAAAAATTACCTCTTACCTACAATTTCCAGGGCTTGCATTTTATAATGACATTGAAGTCCTGATGTGAATAGATTTTCAAATTGCAGGACCGAGAAGCTTCTCGCCCGTTTAATATGCTTATAGCGTCTTCCTTCCGGGAACTGACCCGCCTGTTGGTTGATTTAGTTTCTGTTTGCGTTCCATTTCATAATTATTTGAAGATAGAGACAAGNCAGCTTTTGTTTCTTAAGTAATCCATGAAAGGAAAAGAGAGAAAATCTAACGTCATATATAATTCGTAAGACTTGGACTGATTGAAACATCAGAAATGTAAGAATTCGATTCTAAGCTGCAATGACCATGTAGGAAAAGAGGTAACTCTTGACGATTCACCGGTTTCTGATGCTTTCCGGGATCTGTTGATCCACGGAGCCACGCGTCTTCCCTTAGCTGAAACATTTAGCCTACATGAAAACTCTCGAAGTTCCTAATTGCTTTAAACTACTCCACTAGATCTCTTCGCGGTTTGCATCGCTCCAGGGAAAGCAGGTTTAGTGTTAAAAACCCGTCATTGTAACTCAGCTGTTTCATGCCCCCAGACCAGTTCCCTGGCTAGCTTTGTATTTGCTCTAATTTACATAACTTATTTCGGAAGAAGGACGCCCACACCTGAAAACAATATTCAAGGTGGGACCGGACGAAGGCTGCGTACGGAAGGATAAAAACCTCTGTTGACTGCTGTAGTTTTGTGGGACATTATGCTCAGTAGGCCTTTTGCGACTGCTGTGTCACATATGGCCGAGGCAGCGAAAACAGGTCATTCTAGCCCCCAGATCTGTCGTGCTCTCTTTGAAGTAGGCCCCTGTATCCCGGCGAGTTGGTGGCCTAGTGGTGTTCGACGGTTTGTGAGTGTTGATTGGTAAGTTCCATTTTGTGGATCACTAATTTATTTTGGTGACGTCACTACGTAGGGTGTCCAGATTGCTACTGCTTCCCATGTGAAAACGTGCGTCCTCTAGTCCTTTAGTGATGTTCATCTTGTGTAGAACCTTGTAGACACCACCAGTATAGCGTCACGGCCTCTGAGAAGGAGCGAATGGATCCAGTCGCTTATGGCGTTGAAGATTAATGCTGCTGTCAACATAAATACCAGTAACCGATGGTTTACTAGGTCGAAGGCCTTTTCCAGTATGCCAGTGCAAACATCCAGGAAAGTTAAAAGGACTTTCCTTTTCTAAACCAATGCCATGTGTTTTGTGGGAATACACCGACCTTATATCATACGGTGTGTTCAACCGTTTTCGTTGCCGTGGTGGTTAAACAAATCGGTTTACAGTTTGATCTCTAAGATCCGTCTCTGTCTTTGAAGATGGACACAGCAGTCGGTGGACGAGAGAGACTAGTTTAGGGCCCAGCATGGAGCTTAGGTATTTTATGATAGACGGATTAACATATCTGGCGCTGGTATGCATATATTTCTTTTACTTTAAGGGTTTGTGTAGCCCAACGATGCGATCATGTTCAACTACTACATATCTTCGACAACCGCATGGTGTCCATTACATGCAAAACGTCCTAATCATAACAGTTTTCTAAAATCCCGGGAATTAGCTACAGTTTTCATATTTTATGTAGCTTTAGTTGTTCTTCTCTCTAGAGGCACCGTAACTCATGTGACGCATTCGAATGAGTATTCTTTACTTTCGCACAAGGTCGTTCACTGCTTCTCTAAGATCCAGTACTTTTGATGTCGCACAGTTACCAGTTCTGCAGTTTTAGCTTGTTGAATGGTGATACATTACCGGGTGTGTAACCGCACTATGTTCTACCTGCACTTAATAAACAACTGTAGCAAAGCCGTTGAAAACAGACACCCACAGTATAATGTTAGCTCCGGCCTTTGAAGCAGAGCTCTCTCATCGCCTCATTTCAACCACTCACCGAAGAATTCGATAAACACTGGAGGCTGATAAAGGAAGCCATTCGGATTTCGACCAAAACAATGATGAATTCTTGCACTCGATCTAAGCGCAAACGATGAATCTCCTCAACCTCTACCGATATGCGGGACTCACAGAACTAGTCCTCAGATTCTCAACCTGACTCTAAGTGCAAAGCACTTCAGCGCCAGCTCATCAATGGTTTGAGGAATTACCTTAGATAGCAAGGCGTAGAAGGCGGTGGATTTAGTAACATTCGGATCTTCTCCATCTAATTAGGGTAGCGGTCCCACGGAAAGTGGATGGATACCCTTGAGGTAATAAAGAGAGCCGGCGGTATGCTGTTTCA